CAATTCCCAAGTAAATCATCCCAACCAGGGCTTTGTCAAGCTGGGCCTTAAAAACCTCCAAGGAAGGAGATTCCACCACCTCCCTAGGTAAAGCATTCCAGTGCTTCACCACCCTCCTAGTGAAATAGTGTTTCCTAATATCCAACCTAGACCTCCCCCACTGCAACTTGAGACCATTGCTCCTTGTTCTGTCATCTGCCACCACTGAGAACAGCCGAGCTTCATCCTCTTTGGAACCCCCCCTCAGGTAGTTGAAAGCAGCTATCAAATCCCCCCTCATTCTTCTCTTCTGGAGACTAAACAATCCCAGTTCCCTCAGCCTCTCCTCATAAGTCATGTGCTCCAGCCCCCTAATCATTTTTGTTGCCCTCCGCTGGACTCTTTCCAATATTTCCACATCCTTCTTGTAGTGTGGGGCCCAAAACTGGACACAGTACTCCAGATGAGGCCTCACCAATTTCATAATGATGTTAATCACCAGAGTGTCATTAGCTTTCAGAAAAGACCTCACTCTGTACACTTTTATAATACAGTAGCCTTTCAGCTGATTCAATTGCTCATCTCTTGAGGTCGAGCCCACATCTTTATAGTCCTGTAAATCTTTTAAATGGGTTCTGCCGAGGGTCACCCCTCAAAGTAAAGTTTATTCAAGCTGTGAGGAAGGCGACGTGGAGTCTGGTGAGGAAGGAAGCTCCATGCTCTTTCTTCCCTCACTTGTACTTGCTGAAATGCAAACTGTTCTGTTTCCTGCCATCTCCTCCCCCTGCTGCCTTGATGGCCCTGTTTACGGTTTAGATGTAAACTGAGGTAAACACGCATTCCTCGCTTTAGGACAGACCTGGGTAACAACTCCCCTGACATACTCACACTTTAGTCATAATTCCAAAACTCTGAATACCCACTGCGTCCATACCTCACGCAAGAACATTAATGATCAGGTCATTATTCATTATCAAATGATACCTCACAAGGCCTATGTTGTGCAAAGACTATTACACTGGTGTGTAGGGTGTGAACAGAGGGGTGCTTATGATTAGTGTCAGTGTCCTAGTACAAAAGAGGAGCAGGCAGACCCTCTTATCTGGGACACTGGGCAGGAAGAGGCCACATCTATCCACATCCCTTGAAGGTGGAATCCATTGTTAACGGGCCTATACTCCAAACTAAAAAGCAAGTCCAGTTTTTTATAGGCTTGGCTAATTACTACTGCAGATGTGTAAGTGGTTTCAGTGAGACTGCGGCTGCTATCACAGGCTAGCGCAAAACACCAAAACAACTGAAGTAGCGTGAAAAGAGAGGCTCTGACAAGGTAACAATGATCCTGTCAGGAAAGCCCATTGGGGCCAGTCCAGAGGTTATGGGCTAATGGAGGAGTGGGTGGGTGAGGTTCAGTGCCTGCAACGTGCCATTCCATTATGCAAGGTTTTTTTTAATCACACTCTTCTTACAAAGACAAACTTTAGTTCTATCCTAGTCTGGGTGAGTGATTTTGCTACCAGAAAGGGACTATGGATCCTTCAATATGGATTCTTCTTCCACTCAAGCTTATCTGCTAATGGAGTCACAGGACTGCTTCTTTAGTTGAACTGACACCAATTCTCAGCAGAATTTAGAAATTTAGTCAAATTACTTCATTATCAAGAAATGTCAATTCATTTCAGGAGCACAATGCCCAGGGATACTCAGAGCCAAGCTTGTACAGGCACAAGACTACTCCATGTTAAAACCAAAACCTAACATGCAGGGAATGATTTTGAAGCTATTCTACTTTCTCTAGAATTTAACCAGTTCTTATGCCACTATAACCATACATTTAAATAGTGGTAAAAATCTTTATCTCACAAGTTAATTCAAAGCTCCTTCCCCTCTGTCTAAGAAGCTGTCAATTTTCTTGACCGGAAAAATCTGTAGATTTCTAAGATGAACTCTTTGAAACATTCAGGCATGGTCAACACCTAAAACTTAAATATAGAAATGTCACACCCTGCGCAACTTAGTTAGGTCAACCTTACTCCCACTGTAAATGCAGCTAAGACAATGGAAGAATTCTTCCATCTACCTTGCTACCGCCTCTCAAGGGGGTGGAGTTACTACAGAGACGGGAAAACCCCTTCCCTCGCTGTGGTAAGTACAATGCTACACTGTGCTACCGTAGCACTTGTAGCGTAGACATGCCCTCAGGGTTTCCTGCAGTAACTTTTGCTACGGGAAAGCTGTTTCCTGTTCTAAATAGAACATTGTCTGCTATGCTGACAGAGACTAAGGCTACGTCTTCACTACGGGGGGGGGGGGGGTCGATTTAAGATACGCAAATTCAGCTACACGAATAGCGTAGCTGAATTCGACATATCAGAGCCGACTTACCCCGCTGTAAGGATGGCGGCAAAATCAACCTCCGGGGCTTCCCGTCGACGGCACTTACTCCCACCTCCGCTGGTGGAATAAGAGCGTCAATTCGGGGATCGATTGTCACGTCCCGATGAGACGCGATAATTCGATCCCCGAGAGGTCGATTTCTACCCGCCGATTCAGGCGGGTAGTGTAGACCTAGCCTAGGACAGAAGGAAAGCCACCTCCCTGAATGACATTAGCTACATTGACAGAAGCACTCTAGTTAGCGTAATGAGTTTCTCCAGCCTCCGTGATCTCAACTGAGGCTTGGTCAACATTTGAAAGTTATATTGGCACAGCTACATTGTTCAGGGGTATGACGGAAAAAAAAAAAAAAAAAAACACATCCCTGACTAACAGCTATTTCGACAAAATCCCAATATAGACACAGCTACCTCCGTGGAAGAGTACTTTTGTCAGCATAGTTAACGCTTCAAAATTAGGGCTGTCGATTAATCGCAGTTAACTCACATGATTAACTTAAAAAATTAATCACGATTTAAAAAAAAAAATCGCAATTAATCACTGTTAAACAACAGAATCCCAATTGAAATTTATTAAATATTTTTGGATGTTTTTCTACATTGTATTCTGATTGTAATTGAAGTCAATATTTTAAAAAGTGTACAGTGCTCACTTTATATTTTTATTACAAATATTTGCACTGTAAAAACAAACAAGAAATCATATTTTTCAATTCACCTTATACAAGTACTGTAATGCAATCTTTGTTGTGAAACTTACAAATGTAGATTTTTTTTTTTGTTACATAACTGCACTTCAAAAACAAATTAATGTAAAACTTTAGAGCCTACAAGTCCAATCAGTCCTACTTGTTGTTCAGCCAACCGCTAAAACAAAAAAGTTTGTTTACATTTACAGGAGATAATGCTGTCCGCTTCTTATTTACAATGAACACCTGTTCTCACTTTCAGGTGACATATGGCACTTTTGTAGCTGGCATTGCAAGGTATTTACATGCCAGATATGCTAAACGTTTGTAGCTTCATGCTTCGGCCACCATTCCAGAGGACATGCTTCCATGCTGATGCTCATTAAAAAAATAATGCATTAATTTAATTTGTGACTGAACTCCTTGGAGGGAGAATTGTATGTCTCCTGTTCTTTTTACCTACATTCTTCCATATATTTCATGTTATAGAAATATCGGATGACGACCCAGCACATGTTCATTTTAAGAACAATTTCGCTGTAGATTTGACAAAATGCAAAGAAGGTACCAATATGAGATTTCTAAAGATAGCTACAGTACTCAACCCAAGGTTTAAGAATCTGAAGTGCCTTAAAAAATCTGAGAGGGACAGGGTGTGGAGCATGCTTTCAGATGTCTTAAAAGAGCAACACTCCAATGCAGAAACTACAGAACCCGAACCACCCAAAAAGAAAATCAATCTTCTGCTGGTGATACCTGACTCAGATGATGAAAATGAACATGCATTAGTCCACACTGTTTTGGATCATTATCAAGCAGAACCCATCATCAGGATGGACGCATGTCCTCTGGAATGGTGGTTGAAGCATAAAGGGACATATGAAACTTTAGCACATCTGACACATACGTATCTTGTGACGCCGGCTACGACCGTGCCATGCGAACATCTGTTCTCACTTTCAGGTGACATTGTAAAGAAGAAGCGGGCAGCATTATCTCCTGCTAATGTAAACAAACGTGTTTCTTTCAGCAATTGGCTGAACAAGAAGTAGGACTGAGTGGACTTACAGGATCTACAATTTTACATTCTTTTATTTTTGAATGCAGGTTTTTTTGTACATAATTCTACATTTCTAAGTTTAACTTTCATGATAAAGAGATTGCACTACAGTACTTATAATGGGGGAATTGAAAAATACTATTTCTTTTGGGTTTTTTTATATGCAAATATTTGTAATCAAAAATAAATCTGAAGTACATTTTGTATTCTGGGTTGTAACGGAAATCAATCTATTTGAAAATGTAGAAAACATACAAAAATATTTAAAGAAACGGTGTTCTATTATTGTTTAACAACACGATTAATTGCACGATTAATCGCGATTAATTTTTTTAATTGCTTAACAGCACTATTAAAGATCAAATCGATCGAATAAGCCCTTTCGTCTATTTAGCAACAATATATACTACGGTGCTATGACTGCATAGCCATAGATGTGCTGCTGTCGCCTGCATATGCTCAAAATTCGGGAAGTTGGTGTTCCTACCCCAGCAGAAAAACATCTTCTGTCAGCATACACTTCATCTATACTAGGTAACTATGCTGGTATAGCCCCATCAACATAGGCTCTATAGTGTAAACCTAGCCTGTTAGTGATTCAGTGTAACTTCTGGACAACTCATGACTAATGAAATACAAAGACACATCACAGATTTTAGTCGTCCAGAGGGTTTTAACCCTGATATGAAGCATTTAGTTTAAACACAACCATGACATTAATTGGATAAACAATACATGGAAATTTCACTAGGAGGCTGGTGAAGCACTGGAATGGGTTACTTAGGGAGGTGGTGGAATCTCCATCCTTAGAGGTTTTTAAGGCCTGGCTTGACAAAGCCCTGGCTGGGATGATTGAGTTGGTGTTGGTCCTGCTTTGAGCAGGGGGTTGGACTAGATGACCTCCTGAGGTCCCTTCCAACCCTGATAGTCTATGATTCTATAATAAATGTCATTTTGCTATATGTATCAGTTGGAGTTGGCATGGAGGTGACTTCTCCAGCTCAGCTTCACCACTGCGATGGCTGGCTCTAGAGACAGAGAGGGAGTTCATTCAGGTGATTCACTCAAGCTGCTGTGACAGCCATCCGCCTGTTCTCTGTGAGAATTTCTCAGTGGTGCTTGTCAGCGACCAGATTTCAGTTGTTACTCAGTACGAGGTGCTCAACCTGGCCAGGCAAGTATGCTCCCACTCACCAGCACTGTCATGCAGATGTTTCTATTTCAGGGAGCGGGACATTTTATACCTTTTTTGATGGGCAAAGCTAATGTGGCCCAATCAGGAAGTGATCTGGACTCATGGCCAAAAAAAAGTCCAGCCAGGATATGAGTTATGGCCCTTCTCATCGTCCAATGAGAAAACGAGGCCTCTTGCAACTCCTGGAGAAAACTCCAGTGTCTTTGTGTCAAACACTTTGTGCCCTCTCCACTTAGGTCAGACACGCTGGGCCATGCACTGAACATCTGCTGGCTCAGCTCCAGTCAGTAACCTATTTCTGCAAGTTCCTTTCCGTGGGCTCCATGCTCCTTTGGCCCACTGTGTCTGACTCCATGCTCTTTCCATCTTAGCTGTCTGCAGCAATGTTCTGGAAGTTAGAATAAAGTCTCTTCCCCCTCCTGGATGGCTCTGTCCTTGGGTAGTAGTTCATAACGCAGCCATATACAGTCATTTGATTCACTTGCTTGGTCCACCAGCAACAGGAGAGAACAGTTAGTGAAATAACACAAGACCGCTCTATGCATCTCCATACCAGGACTTGTTTCCTACACCTCAGTGACCAGGTCAGTAGGATCACTTCATATGTGACCCTCTCTCTGGGCACCTGCCAGTCACAAAGTTCATCAGGCCTCATAATCAATTAGGCCTTAGAGAACATTTTGGTTGGTTCACTTTAAAGATTTACATTTCACGTTGGCTTCTCCCCATGCCAACAGAATGGATCAGCTTCTTTAATATCAAATATAGTTAGACCTTTGTTAAAGATTCGTTATATATTTCTTATTGATCACATTTCTATTTAAAATAGACGGCACGAGCAGTTCCTGAGTCTTCTTTCAATCACACGGACAGGCTGTCCCGCCCCGTCCCTCAGACCAATCGACGCTGAGATAGGATGGCAAATCACACCTCTGGAGTGTCCTGGCTGGAACTGATGGTTGTGGGGGGAAGTTCCTGGTTGGGTCCCAGTTAGAGAGGTAGAGGGGTGGGTAAGTCAAAGAGAGACAGAAAGAGACAGGTGGATCCTAGCTAGATGGCAGGGCAGGGCGTGTCCTGGCTGGATCCCAGCTAGATGGGGTGGGAGGGTCACACTAATGGAATAGGCCGTGACCAATTGCTCTGAAGGCATAATAAGCTCATGGGCATCTCCACAATCCATCTGCCCGCCCTTTCCCCACAGTGCTCAGCCAAATTCCCTTCCTTGCCCCCATATGGACTCTCCGCTGGGCATCATGGAGACAGGACCACAGCCTGGTCTGCATCTACTGGAGCTGTGCCAAACCCACCGGCCCCCAGAAGCCCCTCAGGTCCTGGTGGCAGTAGAGAAGCATTAGCATGTGTGGCTAGGTGCCTGGTAAGGTTTGCCTGTTGGCTGAAGTCCTTGCCGCAGGTGGTGCAGCAGTATGGCTGTGCCCCGGTGTGCGTGCGCTGGTGCTTGGTCAGCGTGCTGGCGTTGCTGAAGCCCTTGCCGCAGTCAGCGCAGCGGTACGGCCGCTCCCCAGTGTGTGTGCGCCAATGCTGGGTCAGGGTGCTGGCGTTGCCGAAGCGCTTGCCGCAGTCAGTGCATCGGAACGGCCGCTCCCCGGTGTGCGTGCGCCGGTGCTGGGTCAGCGTGCTGGCGTTGCTGAAGCCCTTGCCGCAGTCGGCGCAGCGGTGCGGCCGCTCCCCGGTGTGCGTGCGCCGGTGCTGGGTCAGCGTCCAGGCATTGCCGAAGCTCTTGCCGCAGTCGGCACAGAGGTAGGGCCGCTCCCCGGTGTGCGTGCGCCGGTGCCGGCTCAGCGAGGCGGCATCACTGAAGTCCTTGCTGCAGTCGGCGCAGTGGTATGGCCACGCCTGGGTGTGCGTGCGCCGATGTCGGTGCAGTGACTTGGCCCAGCAGAAGCTCTGGCCGCAGTCAGCACAGCGGTACAGCTGCTCCCCAGTGTGTGTGTGCTGATGTGCTGACAGGTGAGAGAGCTGAGCGAAGTCCTTGCCGCAGTCGGCGCAGCGGTAGGGCCGCTCCCCGGTGTGTGTGCGCCAGTGCTGGTTCAGTGCGGAGGCTCTGATGAAGCCCTTGCCGCAGTCGGCGCAGCGGTACGGCCGCTCCCCGCTGTGCGTTCGCCGGTGCTGGGTCAGTGCAGAGGCGTTGCTGAACCTCTTGCCGCAATCGACACAGCCATGGGATTGCTGCCCCGCGGCAAGCCTCTGGTGTGTAGCCAGGTCCGGTCCCTGGCTGAGTCTATCCCCACACTCGGCATGGGGATTGACTCCATCCTGTCCACGGTTCCCCCCGTGGACCGTGGGATCCGGCTTTCCTCTCACACTTTCCCCACATTCAGACTGTCTCCTCGTTCCTCCCGGGATCCCGTGCCCTGCTGGAGAGAGCAGAGGGAATCCTGGTGTTGGCTCACGGTTAAGTTTGCAGGTTTGTCAAAGTGAGAAAAATCTCATCGATAGCTCAATTTTCCCATTTGTCCGTGACTCACCCCGCAATAGTGACTCCTGTCCCACGGGGCTGGGCCCGAAGCCCTGCACCAGGCAGTGTAACCTGGCATCCAGGGCCAAAGTGCCACTCACATTTGCCCCTCTGTCCCACCCATGACAGATCAAACGTGAGCCCCACGGGATAGGAACTGTTGCTGTGGGGTGTGGGCAGGGAACCAGGACAAGCCCTAGAGCCAGGAGCTCCAGGGACTAACACTGTGGGATGAGCACGGGGCAGGCTCACTAGAGTCTCCCCCCAGCCCCCAAGCCTCTCCACACCAGGCCAGGATTAGGGTCACGGTGCTGGGTGGAGGGTGCTGCTGTGAATGGTCAGTGCCCATTTGATACAAAATGCTCTGACAAATCTGCAGCCTGACTTATGGTGGTTCTACCCTAACTTGTTTGTGCAGCACCTAGCACCTGCTCCCACATGAGCATGCACCTCGTGTCTCATTTTATGCTTAAATTGTAGAGTGCCCAGGAAACTGGTACAGCATGGCCCTGATCCAGGACCAGGACCCCTACATGCGAATGCAGGACAAACAGGGTCCGGTTTTTCTTTTCAAACGGATTTAGTTTTTATTTCAATCAGAGGATTTTATGTTGTTGGTTCGTTGCTTCCCCCCCCATTTTGTCGCATGAGGCCTGCTCCCCCGTTTTGGTACTGTTTTAACTATACCACTTTGAAACCAGTTTAGTTAAAGGGCTACAGCCCTCTAATGTGGACATAGTTAGACCAGCATAAAGGTGCTTAGAACAACACAGCTTATTCCTGTGGGGGAGTGAGTCCTTTTCAAGAAGTCATTCTCCCTGGGCCTGATGTTTCATTTCTTGTGCAAAACTAAACTGGAAGTTTGTTTTTTCTTGCAGGTGTGGGGGAAGGGACAAATTACTCAGGATTTATGTGATGTAACCTGAAACTACTTTTGTATTGTTTTACAAGCCAATCAATGGATACTGTTAAGCAGGAAGGTGTTCATGGCTCCTACACAGCGGGCCTGCGATCTACAGACAAGCACAGACCTCATTTAGGCTGATGGGCGAGCTAAGCATTAGCACTGAGGCAATGTTAGTTTGAAGTGTCAAAGGGTTTGTGCCACTGAGGGAGCAGGAAGAGAGAGGGATGAGAGAAAGGTTGTCCCACTGCGCTCCCTCCCGTAGATCCTAGACTTGGGGTCAATGCCACCGTGCCCTTCCCATATTGCCGGGAGTCCTGGTTAAATGGCAGGGGGAAATGGCTCAGAACTCTTGCCCTAGAATGAGTCCTATCTGCAAGGAAGCCTAGAAGAGAGCTTTGTGGACTATGGACCAGTAGGCCTGTCTCACCCCCCCAGCTCTACAGAGTCTGATCCCCTGACACACACAGAGGGATGTTAGCCTCACGGCCTCACAGCCCTCCCCATTACACAGAGGGTGAAACTGATGCACAGGGAGCGCTGTAGTGATGCATTCAGGAAATGAATCTAGAACTTATGAATCCACTCCAATGCGCCAATCCAATGCACTACCTCTGTGTAAACATAGCCCATGTCCTTCCCTCAGGAGAGCTCTCTCTTTCCCTCAGCACCCCTCAAATCCCCCACCACACTGTCACATAGCACTATCCCATTCCTCATCCCATCTCATCACCTCCCCATCGCCAATTCATGTCTCTTTCACTGCTTTGAGGCCCCATCTCTCTTAGGTCCCATCCCGGGTCATAGATATCAAGCCCAGAGAAGCCCATTATGCCCATCCAGCCTGGCCTCCTGCCTAACCCAGCCAGAGAAACTCCCCAGCAATTCCTGCCTCCGGCCCAGTAACTGCTGGCTGAGCTGGAGCAGGGCTTTGAGAGAGAGATGCCCCATCTCCACCGACAGACTCCCAGTGATGGAGAACCCATCCCGTCCCTAAGGGAGGTGTTCCAGTGGTGAATTCCCCTCCCTGTTAAGGGATTGGATTACAATGACTCACCTCGGGAGGGGCTCTCAGGCCCTGAGCTTTCCCTGGAGTTCTCGGCATCCTGGATCCAGAGCTCTGCCTCCCCTACCTCGATCCGGTGGATTAAGTCCGGTGTGGAACCTGAATAGCCTGTTTGGGGGGAAAGAATCAGTTTTATTACTAAGGTCTTGTCTACACTACACAGTTTTGTTGACAAAACAGTGGAGGTGTACACGCTACAATGAGACTTTTGGTGACAAAAACTGTTTTGGTGATAAAATAAAACCACCTCGATGAGAGGTGTAGAGCTTTTTGAGGCAAAGTTTTAGCGACAAAGTGTCAGTGTAGACACTGTGCTTCATTATGTCGCTGTAAATGGCCACTGAGTGGATGATAAAAGTAATGGAGGAGCAAACAGAGATGCTGAAGTCCCTAATCATGCTCCATTTTGAACAGATACATGCTCGCTTCCCCCGGCAGCCGCTTCAGAACGGTTTTCCATACCCTCCCCAAACATCTGCACATTCCATCTAAATTACATTAAAACAATGTAATATCGGCAGGGCTGGCTCCAGGGTTTTGGCCGCCCCAAGCAGCCAAACAAAAACAAAACAAAACAAAAAAGCCGCGATCGCGATCTGCGGCGGCAATTCGGCGGGAGGTCCTTCGCTCCGAGCAGGAGTGAGGGACCGTCCGCCGAATTGCCGCTGAACAGCTGGACGTGCCGCCCCTCTCCGAAGCGGCCGCCCCAAGCACCTGCTTGGTAAGCTGGTGCCTGGAGCCGGCCTTGAATATCGGGCTGTTAAGAAGACTCCTGTCTTAATAGCACCCACCATCACCAGCTAAAGAAACAGATCTTACGACAGTTAAAGAAAACTTTGTCTGATAGCATTCTGTCTGGTAAGGAATCACTTATCAACAGTTGTGGGTGTGAAATCTCTACTTTGTTTTACCTTTACGGTCCCTACTTCTCTATTGTTTATCTGTCTGGTTTCTGTCTGGTGCATAATTAATTTTACATTTAAATCAACGAAGGTATGATTGGGTAAAGAATTGTTTCCCAATATGTTAAGATTGGTCAAAGACTTATTTTGTAGTACTTTACTTTAAAATGATTGGGTAAAGGTACAGCTAAGCGGGACTCACGTTTCACTATATAAACTGGGGTCCAACAGGAAGTTCTTTGGAACCAGCTCCAGAACACAGCCCAAAGATCAGAGCTGCCAGACCTCAACACCCCCAGAAACTGGAGTCCCCAGACAACCTGCTCTTGGTAGCCAGCAGGAAAAGTTTGTCTGCCTTATTGGGAGTGGTGAGCATTGTCTGCTGAGCGCGAGCATTCCGTTTTGGTGATTGTTAATAAATAGAGGTTAAGGATATTACTGTGTAAGGTTCTTTCACTAGTAAAACACACAAACAAACAAACCACAAACATGCAGAGTGTAAAGTTACACCCTGAGCCCTAGGAACTGGGTAAGGGTGGGTGCCTTGAGGCAGAGTTGCTGCCATCGGTGTCTGGGCTGGGATTCCTGGAAGAGGTTGTTTGTTTGCTACCACCGCTGTGCCATGACTGAGGTACATAATGAAAGTAAACAAGTTATACTAAAATTAGCCCCAGGCTGTATAGACCTGAGTTCTCCTCCAACAGGTGCTGACGAGGGTTGTCCATTAATCTCAGTTAATTTATACGATTAACTCAAAAAAAAATTAATTGCAATTAAAAAAAATAATCACAATTAAATGTGCTGTTAAACAATAGAATCCCAATTGAAATTTATTAAATATTTTTGGATGTTTTTCTACATTTTAAAATATATTGACTTCAATTACAACACAGAATACAAAGTGTACAGTGCTCACTTTATACTGTTATTTTTATTACAAATATTTCAGTGTAAAAATGATAAACAAAAGAAACAGTATTTTTCAATTCACTTCATACAAGTACTGTAGTGCAATCTTTATTGTGAAAGTGCAACTTACAAATGTAGCATATCTGGCACATAAATACCTTGCAATGCCAGCTACAAAAGTGCCATGTGAACGTCTGTTCTCACTTTCAGGTGACATTGTAAATAAGAAGCGGACAGCGTTATCTCCCGTAAATGTAAACAAACTTGCTTGTCTTAGTGGTTGGCTGAACAAGAAGTAGGACTGAGTGGACTTTTACGCTCTAACATTATTTTGTTTTTGAGTGCAGTTATGTAACGAACAAACAAACAAAATCTACATTTGTAAGTTGCCCTTTCACAACAAAGATTGCACTACAGGACTTGTATGAGATGAATTGAAAAATACTATTTCTTTTGTTTTTTACACTGCAAATATTTGTAATAAAAAATAAATATAAAGTGAGCACTGTACATTTTGTATTCTGTGTTGTAATTGAAATCAATATATTTGAAAACGTAGAAAACATCCAAAAATATTTAAATGGTATTCGATTATTAACAGTGCGATTAATTGTGATAAATTTTTTTTAATCGCTTGACAGCCCTAGTACTGACATTTGCCACCACTTGGTGGCACATGGGCAGCCGAAGATTTAAGGGAACCCAGACATTCACAGCTGCGAATAGAAGAAGGGAAATTGGTCCTTACCCAGGGAAACGAGGGCCCGGTAATTCCGCAGCATCTGATCCCGATACAGCTGCTTCTCTGGCTGGGATAAGAGCTCCCACTCCTCCTGGGTGAAATACAGAGCGACGTCCTCAAACGCCACCTGGAGCTGCTGGCACAAGCGTTACACACTCAGCACCTTCCGCTCCAGCCCCCAGCCCGGAGTCTCAGCAGGGGACGCGGTTTCTATGGGAGCAACTCACAGGGATAACACCCAGCCCAGCAGCTGTGACCTAGGGAGACTCCCCCCGACAGCTCCCCCAGGGACTCGGGGCCCTGCTGGCCGGGGACAGGAGTCGCCCTCAGCTCCCTATGGGGCTCTGGGGCTGGGCGCTGGGAAGGGCCCGAATCCCAGGGCAGGGAACAGGCTCCTCCCCCCCGGCCGGAGTCCCCGCCTCTGCCCCAGGCCTGTGCTCACTGCCAGCTCCCATCCCTTGCTCAGGCACCTCAGGGCTCCATTGTCAGGCCAGGGACTTGGGGGAAAGGGGTCGCACCCGGCTCCGCATGTCCGCCCGGCCAGGGCTCTCCCCTTCCTAGTCCCCAGGGACGCTTCCGGCTTTGCGGGTGGTGTCCCGGGGCCCCAAAGCTGCTCCCCGGCCCTCCAGCTGCTGCAGCCCCTGAGCCCCCAGGCTGCGCTGGTGCAAAGTGGGACCCCGGGCCAGGCCTGGCCCCACCGCGCTGAGCCGATTCCTACCCCGGGTCAGCGCTTGGCCCGGGTCAGCGCCACCCCCCAGGAGCTGCTGCTGCTGCCCCCAGCCCTGGGGTCACTAGCGCGGGGGGGATCCGGGTCCCGGCCCCCCTCGGCCCCCAGCCAGGACCAGCCAGAGCCCGGCCGGGGAGTCACTGCCCCCAGCAAGCTCCCAACCAGCATCCTACCTGCGCCGGCCCCGCTGCAGCCATCGCCATGGTCTGGGGCAAGGCGGGGTCCGTGGCAGCAGGGAAGGGACAGACCGGGCGTGTCTCTTCAGACAGACAATCTGGAGAGAGGAGAAAAGGGGCCTAGTCAGTTCCTAGGGCATCCCCCGAGGAGAGCAGGACCCCGTTATTCTGGGCCTGGGGCAGGTGCCACATTCTCAGTACCATCCCAGGGAGGGGGCTGGGATTAGCCCCCCCCCCCCCCGTGTCCCTGCCCTACTAGGGGGTGGAAATAAACCCCAAGGTTAGCTCAGTTGCAGACCCCCCCCCGACTGCGTTGGCGCTGGCTGGGGGGGGGTCTCTCCAGCCCCCCTCGACTCCGACCCCCCAGCGGCCGCTTTCTCCGGGCAGCGATTTCCTGCCCCCGCGGCTGTTTCTCTCCCTCCCCTGCGCCCCGCGCATCGGCCGATCCCCGGGCTGCAGCGGGGACCCGCCCTGTGCACGGGCCGGGCTGGGAACCCAGGAGTCCGGGCGCTGGGACACGTGGGTCAGGTACAATCCCCGCCCCGAGGCAGCCCGGAAGCGAGCGGAGGCTGGAGGGGGTCCGCGCAGCCAGCCGCCCTCCCCCACTGGCGTGCATGGGCAGGGCCTTGAAAACAATGCTAAGTAGAAATCACATGGATACAAATTACTTCATTATGCAGATGTCAGTTCCGTTCAGAATGGCCCGGCCTGGCGACAATGAGAGCAAAGCTTGGACACCCACCGGACTATTCCACAATAAACCCGAAACAGACTATTCAGAAAGCTCTTCTCATGTCTCTGGAATGTAACCAGTATTCTGTAGGGTGACCTATTTCCCTAGACTGAAAATGGGACTCCGCACGCACCCGGGTAAGCGGCGACGCCGGGCAGCCTGGTGGCAGTGCTACCTGATAAGAAGCTCACCAACACAGGGCTGTTAGTCGGGGTAAGAAAGGTCCATGAGAAATCCGGCTTTTCCCATCAGAAAAAAAGCTCAGTGATGTGGGGTGCAGGGGTCACCGTTAGCGTGGTGATGTACAATGAGAAGGGGGGTTGGGGCAGGGGACCCAGGGTCCAGTATACCCTAAACCAGCATTTATCCTCTTGTGTAATGGTCATTACTTTGGAGTCTTGGATGTGAAGACTATGTATGGGGTAAGATATTTCTGGGACCTTTGTTACATGACCTGTAACCCTAAGAATAGCCAGGCTTGCCACCAGAGCGCCAGGCTCTGTTATTCACACACTCTAGGGTCACCCACCCCTACCCGTTCCGTGGGCTCAGGCGTAACCTTACACTCTACGGGTTTGCGGGGTCTTTTACCAGTGAAAGAGCCTTACACAGTAATAGCCTTATCCTCTATTTATTAATAATCACCAAAACCAGAATGCTCACACTCAACATACAATGCTCACCACTCCCAATAAGGCAGATGAACTTTTCCTGCTGGCCACTCGGGATCAGGTTATTTGGGGACTCCAGGTTCTGCATGGTGTCGTTGGCAGAGTGTTGAGGTCTGGCAGCTCTGAGCTAGGGGCTGTGTCCTGGAGCTGGTTCCAAAGAACTTCCTTTTGGACCCCAGTTTATATAGTGAAACTTGAGTCCTGCTTACTGTACCTTAACCAATCATTTTACTAAAATTTTACTAACCAATCCTAACATATTGTAACGAAATTCTCTAACCAATCCTACCCCACCACCGTCATTGATTTACACCTTGCATAATTAATTATACAGCAGACAGAAACAATCAAAGAACCAGACAGAGACCATACAGACAAACAGTAGAGAAGTGGGGACCATAAAGATAAAACAATAAAGAAATGAGGATTTCACAACCACAACTATTGTTAAGTGGTTTTTTGCTAGACAGAATGCTATCAAACTAAGTTTTCTTTAACCATCTTAAGATCTGTTTATCTGGTGATGGTAGGGTAACCAGATGTCCCGATTTTATAGGGACAGTCCCAATTTTTGAGTCTTTTTCTTATATAGGCTCCTATTACCCCCCATCCTCTTCCCGATTTTTCACATTTGCTGTCGGGTCACTCTAGGTGATGGTGGGTGCTATTAGAACAGGATCTCCTTCTTAACAGCCTGGTATTACATTGTTTTAATATCATTTAGATGGAATATGAGGATGTGACTTTCTGCTTCTCAGCTAACGGCTGCTGCTCTTCTAATCTGGCTGCAGACAAAGGCCTTAGGCCTTACAATATGGCTACAGGAAAAGGCCTTATCCTTACAAGTGTACGGCAGGTGCTAGAGGTGCGACACTGGCAGGGTGTGCTGCAGGTCCGGGTTGTGTTTAGAGAGACAGAAGGCCTTGGCAACCAGGGCCGGCTCCAGGGTTTTTGCCGCCCCAAGCAGCGCAAAAAACAACAACAAAAAAAGCCGCGATCGCGATCTGCGGCGGCAATTCGGCGGGAGGTCCTTCGCTCCGAGCGGGACTGAGGGACCGCCCGCCGTATTGCCGCCGAATAGCTGGACGTGCCGCCCCTCTCCGGAGTGGCCGCCCCAAGCACCTGCTTGGCAAGCTGGTGCCTGGAGCCGGCCCTGTTGGCAACCCAAAGCAAAGCCAGTCCAAGATGCTGTGTGACAGGTGTCAGTACTACATGGAAAAAGACCACCAGTGCAAAGGCCGGGACTGTAAGCTGTGTGATGTTCAGGGATTGTAGAAATCCACTGGCTGCAGAAAAATGCAGAATTTGCATTTTTACAGAGAAGCTTTAAATTTGTGAAAAAATAAAAACATATATTCACTAAATGTTACTGAAAGTACCAGTGTCACTTATTCAATGCGCACAACCTCCCCCTCTTGTGCTTGATTGTTGAATGCTCTTTAAATTTACATCGCTAAACATACTCCAATAAACTGCTTCCAGCGTAGAGAGGTTATTCAAGGACGTATAGGGGTTCGTATTTTAATGCATCTCAGATTTTACTTCAGCCTCCAGACGTGAGTAAGTAAAGTTACGAAAAGATGCCAAAAACTTTAAAAACCGCCCCTAAAGACCATGTCACTGACTTTGGCAAGGACAAATTTCAGGTTGATGGTAATGTGCTGTTCTGTACAGGATGCAGCAAGGTTGTAGATTACATTTGAAGGCAGACAATTGTAGAACAAATGGAAAGAGCTCAACATAAACAGAATTAAAAGAAATGAAAACAAGAGGCTTCAAACTTGTTTAAAATTGTAAAGATATCAATAAAACATTGTGTTCAAGTGATACTCTATATATTATGGCTAGGGAAACTAAAGTTCAGCATTTCATTTTAATCGCTGAAAAATGAAGATTTTTATGTTTTTTTATGAGAAATTTTGCCGTTTTTTATCACGGAAAACTAGGATCACTGGTGATGTTGAAGACTGTGATGATCTAAACCAGCGGTTCTCAACACGCGGGCCGCATGCGGCCAATTAGCACACATCTGTGGCCCAACTGTGTGCTAAAAAAAATTCAAAATTTGCTGCTCTGGTCTGGCAGGGAACAGGGCTGGCTGAGGGGGAGACAGCATCATGCACCCCTGGGGGGAGGGATAGCTCAGTGGTTTGAGCATTAGCCTGCTAAAGCCAGGGTTGTAGGTTCAATCCTTGAAGGGACCATTTGGGGATTCAGTGGGGGTTGGTCCTGCTTTGAGCAGGGGGTTGGACTAGATACCTCCTGAGGTCTCTTCCAACCCTGATATTCTACGATTCTGCCAGCAGGGGGCTGGTGAGTAGGTCTGTGGGTAAGTTTTTTGGGGGGCTCTGGGAACTAGGGGTTTGCCCCCAGTTTTAGGTGGGCCTCCGCTCCTGACCCCCTTCTTGAGTCCTAGCTGCCAGCCCCACCAGGTGCTATGCTACTGGCTGGCACTGGGGGTCCCAGCTGCTGCCTGGCCCCATGTGGCAGGGTCTGGATCCCCGCTGCTGCCCAGCTCCACGCCTGGCCCCACTCTGGGCAGGGGCGCTGGGCATAAGGGACTGTGAGTGGTTTTAGGGTGCGGGGGCACTGTGGTTCTCAACCTGCGGCCCACAATAATAAACAGATTGAGAACCACTGATCTAGACAGACATCTGTGTTTCATGGTCAACAACTCAACATCAGTACCACCAAGGCATCAGAAAAGTACATTGTGTATGTTGGGTGCAGGGGACCCCTGACCAGATCCCTAGTTACATTTTTTGCAAAGCAAGATCTGCTGGTAGTTTATGGGTGTGGCATGTGTTGCAGCCTTTGCCAGGATCTTTCTGGCTAAGCTCTCTTGGAACCACATCTTCCTAGTTCCCTGCTGCCAAGGGGATGACAGATACATTATCCTGAGTCCGCTCTTGAAGGAGAAGATGGATGTAGATCTGGTCGCGCACGAAGGCAAAGTCCTGATTGTGAAGGTGAAGGCCTTGGGCATTTGTTTTATTGATTCGTTCTACTCTTACCTATGAAGCTTAGCCAGCTAACGCAGGCCCTGGGCTCGGCCTGGGACAAAGGGTACTTTCCTCATTCCTCATTAACACTTTAAAGAATGAAGACTAGGTCAGAGCTATGGCAGACTCCAGTGCTGATTGCACGATGCCCGACAGTTTCTCTGAGAGGAGGTGTAGATTTACACAGAGACCACGTCAAGGTGAACCTGGCTAAAAGGCAAATTGCCGAATTGTTTCTGAACTGGCTGGAGGGGAAGTTCAGACAGAGATCAAACCTGCCCAACACCACCCTCACGAGAGACACAGACCAGCTCCAGGAGTACCCGTTTTCCCCAATATATAAGGTTCATTCCTGTGAGTTTTATCAAGAATGAAACCGCCCGTCTGGGCTGGAAGTACATGGTCCCTTTCAGCCCTGCATTTCTATGATTTCCGCTGAAACTTTCCAGAACATTCAGCCTGAGGCAGGCACCCGGCATGAAGCATTTCAGCCCGAATGGCTCAAGTCTGAAAAAGCTATAAGCAACTGAAGACAGGGTCTTAAAGTGAATGCATCAGGCAACTTTAACGAGGCATCATTCTACCTAGGATGTGTCCCTCTTGTTTACAGCTGGCCAGCAGTAACTCCTAGGGGCTGATGTGTGGAGGAGACAGGTGGCTGCCTGAGGAGCTGTGTCCCCACCCTCCACACTAGACCTGGGCAGACTTCTTCTTCTCCCCCCCTGGAGTGGAAGAACAGAGTGGGGGCTATGACACATGGACCCGAGCAGGGATCAACCCCCAAATGTGCAGCCCTATAGTGTACCTTCTGTGACACCTTCTTAGCACAGGCCCGAGGGCTCTGGTTCCTGCTCCTTGGCAGTGTGATGGTGGTGGCGGGTGAGAGCGAGACGGGGGAACCTGTTCAGTTTTAGCTCTTGCCTGAACAGCTCCTAGAAGCTGAAATGCCCCGATTTGGCAAGCGGGACACCGGGCCTGAGAGCTCAATCAGGGGGGCAGGCAGCAGAGCCAACCCCTGCTCCTAGCCACGGCCAGCCCCGGGGGGGCAGCCAGAGCTGGGAGCGGCCCAGCCAGAGCATCCCCCCAGCTGATGGCGGGAAGCAGCCATTAACCCCCTCTTAGCCTTTAGCAAGCAACAGCCAGCACTGGAGACCAGCAACCCGGCCACAGCTCCCCTCCACCCAGCCCAGGACAAGGAGCACAGGGGCAGAGCCTCAAGAACCCACGAAACATCCCCAGACACCAGCCTCAGGGGAGGTCAGAGCCAGCTGGGAGCAGTGCCGAGATCCAGAGCTGTCTAAGGCCAGAAGGGACCGTTATGATCATCTAGGCAGTTCTCCTGGCTCCCCCAGTGTTTGCGCCATGCTGCAGCCTCATCAGGCTTAAGCTCCATGCAAATAAAGCTGTGTATATTCAAATATGCAAATTGAAGCATTAAGTCACTTGTGCATAGTCTCCCGCTTTCTGAGCATCCAGCTGGTCTTAAATTGGCAGTGTCACAGACTCTCATGATTTGTTTGTGAGTTTCATGAAGTTTGGTGTTTTTTTTCTTAAAGCCCCAGCTCCCGGAGTCAGGGGATTATGTGAGAATTTTGGCTGTCATTTAAAAAACAAAGTCCATCCCTAGCCCTCATGGTTGGGAAGAAGAGTCAGAAAATGTAATCCTCCACAAAGGCTCTAACCATGGACGGGAAGTAACGAGATTGACAAATTTATGATATATTTTTAAATCTCATGGGTTTTTTTAAGCCAATCTCATGATCTCTTGGGGTCCTGACACATGATTTTTGTTTGTTGAATTGGGGGCTGGCAATACAAGAATTTGGTGACAGTGTGAATTTGGCTATATTAAATTTGAGAGTGGTGACACTGTGCAGCGTTTGGTGGCTGTGAATTTGAAATTGGTGTCACCATGAATTTGGCAATACAGGACATTTGACACTGTGAATCTGGGGTTTCTACAGTGTTTAATTTGTGATGAAAGAGATGCTGGGGCTTGATACCCGCTAAATCTCCTGTCAACTTCAGTACTCTACCAGAATGAGAAGCGTAATGCAAGTCGACTCCAGCTACATTATTCACGTAGCTGGAGTTGCGTAACTTAGGTTGACTTAACCGTGTAGTATAGACCTGGCCTTAGTGTCGAGTGTGTCCGCCACTGGGTCAGCAGGGATCCGTCCGCAACACGCTGACCATCATCGGGACAATGGCTAGTCCCCCACACTCCAGGCTACTTCCTGCCGTGTTACTCCTGGTGACAGTCTGCAAGTCTTTGGGGTCTCCAGGTTCCTCAGCTGGTGCAACTCCCTGTAGCTCAGACCTCCCTGCGGCATCCACAGGTAGCTGGGCATCTGCTAGGGTCTCAGCGCCTCTGACGTCTGCAGTCCAGGGTTCCCGTGGTTCCTGGGTTGGAGCCGGCAAGGAACATCCTGCCTCTCCGGTGGTGAACTGCTCCCTCTTAAACTGGTGCTCATAGGCTCCGGCTCCGTGGGTGCTGCAGGGCTGGAGCACCCACGGGGAAAAATTAGTGGGCACCCACCGGCAGCCAAGCTCCCTGCACCTCCACACCCTCCTTGCCTCCTCCTCCCCCGAGCATGCCACGTCCCCGCTCCTCCCCATCACAGCGATTCCCGCCCTCCGCCTAACAGTTGTTTGGTGGCGCTTAGGACTTTCCGGGAGGGAGGGGGAGGAGTGGGGACATGGTGTGCTCCGGGGAGGAGGCGCTAAAGAGGCGGGGCAGGGGTGGGGACTTGGGGAAGGGGGTGGAATTGGGGTGGGGCAGGGGCGGGGCCGGGGGGGTCAAGCACCCATAGGGCAGAGGGGAAGTTGGCGCCTATGCTGGGGCTACACCTGAAGCATGCCCAGTAGGAATGTGGGGGCGTGGCTTCCTCTGCCCACATTGAGGAATTAACCCTTCCCCGTCCAGTGCGGGGTGAGTTCACCCCATCACAGGTGGCCACACGTCCTGTTTTGGCCGGGACCGACCCTTTTTTAAGCCCTGTCCTAGCCGTCCCAATTTTTTGGCAAAAGTTGATCAGTTGGCAAGAGCAAATGGGACAAATGCCCACTTTTGTCAAAAAAAGTGGGGTGCAGAGGAATGTGTGTGGGGGGAGTGGTGATGCCAGCCCCCCACAGGGGGGGCAGGCAGGGCTCAGGCAAGCAGTGACGCCAGCCCCATTCGGTGAGTGTGGTGTGCTCGGGTGAGCAGGGGGGTCTCGGGTCAGCCCCGTGGTGGTGGGGGGGGGGGCTAGGGTGACTAGATGTCCCGATTTTATAGGGACAGTCCTTTTTGGAGGGTCTTTTTCTTATATAGGCTCCTATTACTCCCCACCCACTGTCCCGATTTTTCACATTTGCTGTCTGGTCACCCTGGGGGGGGCGGGGGTTCGGGCGAGCGGCTCAGGCCACTCAAGTATTGGGGGGGGGGGGCCCGGGCTAGCCCCACATGGGGTGTCCCATTTTCCCTTTGAGAAATATCGTCACCCTATCTAGTCCCCCAGTTGGCTGTGCGGGACTGAAAGGCATCGGGCCTGGAGCTGAAGACTAGGGTGACCAGACAGCAAGTGTGAAAAATTGGGACGGGGGTGGGGGGTAATAGGAGCCTATATAAGAAAAAGACCCCAAAATCGGGACTGTCCCTATAAAATCGGGACATCTGGTCACCCTAAGCCCCCCGCAGCCCAGCACTTCCTGTCCCTGGACAGACCCGCCCTCGGTCTCCGTCTGAGAGTGACGACCGTGGGAAATGCCCAAGGGGTGGGGCGAAGGGACCTCGGCTGGGCCGGGAGGCCGATGTCGAAATCGCTTCCCAGCAGCGGCGGGCTGGCTTCGGGCAGGGCCGGCATGGAGCAGCTCCTGAAGCAGGTGCTGGGGCCCCTGGAGAAGAAGGGCGAGCGGGAGCTGCAGCGCTTCAGCAAGAGGCTGCAGAAGTGTCTGGTGAGGGAGGGGGAGAAGCTCATCGCCCAGGACACGCCGGAGGGAGGGGCGGAGCCGGCCGCGGGTATTAACGACCGCGGGGACAGCGCCGAGCACGACGGGCAGGAGGTGGCCGTGAAGGTGCTGACAGACCCGGACCGCATCAGAGACCTGGCAGAGGCACTCGGCACAGACGGTACAGAGAGGGGGGGAACCCCCACTGCCCCTCCCCACCTCCAGCCGGCCCCCTTGTTTCTGGGCACGACTAAATCACCCTCCCCTCTCGCGGGGGTCTCTGGGAGCTGGAAACAACCCCCAATCTGCCTTTCTTTCCCCTCTTTTCCAGGCTGGGATTTCTTCCCCCCCCCCCCCCCGCTTTCACTTTCATTCTCTTCTCCTACCAGCCCCCTCCCCTCTCTGCCCTGCAGCTCCCCTGCTCCTTTCCGGCCAAATCCTGAGCTGGTGTGGCGTTAGGGACCATTTCCCCCCGGGGAGAATCTGCTCCCCACCCCCCCCTCGAGAGGGGTGTTGATCCATTGGCAAAACCCCTGCTGCCCCCCCCCAACACACACGCACACACAGAGTTATTCCTTTAACATCACTTTGCCAAGCAAAACTAACTCAGCCCCTTGGACCAGCAGCACCCCCCAAACCAGTTGAGCGCTCACCAGCTCACATGGATTGTTCACTCGTTGGAGGCAGGGATGCTCTTTTTGTTCTGGGTTTTGTACAGTGCCTGGCGCAATGGGGGCCCGGTCCATGGCTGGGCCTCCCCGGTGCAGACATGCCAATGCTCACGAATGCATCGCAAGAGATGTGATTTCTAGGTAAAATTAAGTATCGGGGGTAGCCGTGTTAGTCTGTGGCCTGGTCCACACTAACCCCCCACTTCGAACTAAGGTACGCAAATTCAGCTACGTTAATAACATAGCTGAATTCGAAGTACCTTAGTTCGAACTTACCGCGGGTCCAGACGCGGCAGGCAGGCTCCCCCGTCGATGCCGCGTACTCCTCTCGCCGAGCTGGAGTACCGGCGTCGACGGCGAGCAGATCCGGGATCAATTTATCGCGTCTAGACAAGACGCGATAAATCAATCCCAGAAGATCGATTTCTTACCGCCGGACCCGGAGGTAAGTGTAGACCTACCCAGAATCTACAAAAACAACAAAGAGTCTGGTGGCTAACAGATTTATTTGGGCATAAGCTTTCGTGGGTAAAAACCTCACTTCTTCAGATGCTTTTACCCACAAAAGCTTATACCCAAATAAATCTGTTAGTCTTTAAGGTGCCACCAGACTCCTTGTTGTTTAGGTAAAATTAAGCTTTGCTCATGATCTCGCAATAGAATTCTGTTTTCAGCCCGAGTGGCAGGGCTCCTGCTCTCAGCCCCGCAAGGAGGGACTCCTGGAGAGCCCCTCTTCGTGTGACCGAGAGTGCTTTGTGGGGTGTTTTAGGTAAAGTAAGTGAGAGAATCTCTCCAGCCAAACTGCAGGTTAACAAAGTTGTTTGTTTTTAAATGGGGAATTTCCTTAGTTTTTTTGTATTAATTATGAATCGCTCCATGTGCTCCATGACAGGTGTCCAATGCAGACCTTGCAGACTGCACCAGAATGGACCCTATTCCTTCCCAGTGGACTTCTTTCCACTGCCATATCTGTCCTCCTTCCATTCCGTTCCCTGGACCTGACACCCCCCCCCCCGGCCCCATTTGTAGTAGGTCTGTGCAGCATTCACTTGAAAGAAAATGTGATAGTTAGAACAGGGTCAATGAACAAATCTAACTGAGGGGCAGAAGCATCTGCTTTAGCCCCCTGAACCCCTGTTTCTCTGCAATGATGGATCCTTCTCCCTCTGCCCCTGACTCTCCCCCACTCCGCTATCTCACTCGCACTCCTGTTCTGGCTTCTAAGAACTAAGTTTGTCCTCTGTGTGTATGTGTGGGGAGAAGGGAGTGTGTGGGGAGAGGGTGGGCTATGCTGTGAGCTGACCACAGGTCTGAGACTGATTTTCCCCCTTTTTTTCTCCAGTGCCCCCTGTGCAGAGCGAGCCCCTTCCTGCCGGTGCCACAGCCGGAGCAGCAGGTGAGTGGGGTGCAGATCAAGAGGCGCGTGAAAGGCTCTGAAAGGAGGATTCCTTTCCCCCAGCCCGGGACAGATCATTCCCGTTCCAAATCCCAGGCTTGGAGACACCTGGGGCCATAGGCGCCAACTTTCCCCGGCGCCAGTGGGTCCTCACCCCCCCCCCCTGCCCCTGGCCTCACCCCGACTCCACCCTTTCCCCGCCCCTGCCCCGCCCCCATTCCAACCCCTTCCCCAAAGTCTCTGCCCCAACTCCCTCCCTGCCCCTATTAGACCCCTTCCCCAAATCCATGCCCTGGCCCCGAGTGTGCCGCGTTCACCCTCCTCCCCCCTCCCAGCGCTTGCCGCGTGAATCAGCTGTTTCGTGGTGCAAGCCCTGGGAGAGAGGGAGGGGGGAGAAGCAGGATGCAGCGGTGCGCCCAGGGGAGGAGGCGGAGACAGAGCGGAGGTGGAGGTGAGCTGGGGCGGGGAGCTGCCGGTGGGTGCAGAGCACCCACCAATTTTTCCCTGTGGGTGCTTCAGCCCTGGAGCACCCACGGAGTCGGCACCTATGCCTGGGGCAGCTTTGGCTCAGGGCTCTTCCCCAGCCCCCTAGATTTCTGGGGGGATCATCACCCCCATTTCCTCCTGTCATGGACTCGTGGCAAATGGCAGAGTGCCCCCCTCCCCATTTGTGCCCTTCTCTGGCTCCTGTAGAAAGAGGCCAGGTGAAGATTACTGAGATGTACTGTAAGTGCCTTCAGGCAGGGAGCTCTGTGCCTGGTAGCCCCATGGCAAGTGTTGGGGGGATAAGGCTCCCTGTGAGTGGTCTCCGCCCCTTCCAGCTCTGAGCTGCGACTCGCTCTATAGCATTGACGCTTCCTCTCTGTCTCATTTGCTCCAGAGTCCCCTCCCATAGTGATTCCTGACTCTGAGCAGCTGGAAATTCTCCCTTTGGACAATGCAGAGAGACACACAGGTCAGTAGTTCCCTTGTTGCAGTGCTAACATTCTCCTGGAGTCCTCCAGGCCCATCCCCCCCTCCCATTCGGGGCTCAGGGCTTCAGCCCCAGAGGGGCCGCACCAGGGCTTGGGGTTTCAGTTCCGCAAGAGGTGCCTGGGCTTGTGGCTCTGGGCTTCAGCCGCGGGGCCCCATGGATCCCCTGAGACCAGCTCGTGGCCCCCCAGAGGGCTGGGATCCCAGGTTGAGCGCCAACAGCATCGGGCTGGAGCCAAGGGGAAATATTTACTGGAGCTACGCTCCGGACAGCTGAATTTAAGCCCTGCCTTTGTGGATTCAGCAGGTACCACGTGGGGCTGAGCAGAGAGGGCTGGGCCCCCTTCTCCGCCCCAACAGAGATCCATGTTGGAGTCCAGAGACATCAAGCCCTCCTGGAATGTAATGATGGGACATAGGAACTTCCCCGATGGGCCCATCTAGCCCGGTTTCCTGCCCCCTCCACGCCACTCTGGATCAAATCATTGGGCCAGTCTAGACTGTATCTTGCCTCCTCCCTAGAACCCCAAATCAGATCAATGGGCCCATCTAGTCCAATAGTCCAACTCCAATAGTGGCCATTAGCAGACGCTACAGATGGAAGCCTCACTCTGAGGCAAGATTTCTCCTTCCCTCTCTCTCTATCCATTTGACTTCTCAGTTGTTCTGCGGAGCCCGGAGGTATCAGAAATATTCCAGTCTCAGCCGCTGGTGGAGGGCAGCCACGTGGCCTTCAGCTGCTTTGTCGCAGGGTACTTCCCCCAGGAGCTAACTGTGACCTGGCTCAGGAGGGAGAGTGGAGACAGTGTGGCCACACCCATCGAGGACTCCGCTGATTACGCCATCATCCACAAGGAGACCTGCGCCAAAGACAGGGAGACCTACCAGCAGATGGTGACGCTGTCCTTCACCCCATCGGCACAGAGAGACCAAGGGGCAGAGTTCATCTGCCAGGTGGGACATGTGGCCCTGCAGACCCCCATTGAGAGGAGCACCGGGACGCTGGAGGTCAAAGGTCAGTCTGAGTTTAAAGGTGGAGCGCTATTGCTCCTGGGTTGTTTGGGGCTTCCCTTCTCCTAGTGTGTGTATCTGTCTCCAGCCCTAGATCCTAACACTCTGGTTTGTCTCCCCAGGCCCCAGCCAGCCAGTCTGTGTCCTAGACCCCAGTTTGCTGGTCTGGATTATATTTCAGGGGTCAGTCACTGCAGCGCTTAGTAGCTTTAGTACCTGACCCTGGAAATAAGTAAGTCACTCACGGCTGAGCTCCTATTGCTGGCATCTGTGAGCAATCCCAGTCCCTTTACTGAGACTTCTCCCAGCAGCAAGTGCTGCGCCGGGTGATACCCCAGTGAGGTTTTGCAGGATGAGGCCCTATATCTGTTGTTTCCTCCCACTCTAGCCTGAACTGGGATTCATCCATAATGGGGTCTAGAGAGCCCTCACGCTCTCCTGGAACAAAATGATGGGACATAGGAACTGCTGCTCCAGATCCAACCAATGGGCCCATCTAGCCTGGTATCTCGCCTTCCTCATGCTGCCCTGAATCAGACCCATGGGTCCATCTAGCCCAGTATCCCACCTCTCCCTGCTGCCCTGAATCAGACCCATGGGTCCATGCTCTTTGGGGCAGGGGTCATCTTCTTGTTCTGTGAGTGTACAATGCCTAGGGCAAGGAGTCTTGGTCCATGAGTGGTGTTCCTGAGCAAAGTAATTAACAATAATCTCAGGTCCCGACTTCCTGGGACCTTCTAAAGTGCTGCTTAGCTGGGGTGAGTACAAAAGTCCAAACCAGAAAAGTCCGTCCAGAAAAAAATATTGGGAAGCAAGGACCTGAAATTTTTAATGTTAAGAATACGGGAAGGATTATGTTTTTCCCAAAGAAATGTGATGGCCAGCTTTAGCCAGGGTGTTGGGGCAAGAAACAGCACAAACATATGTTTTTGCTGAGCTTTTCACCTCTATACCTGACGAGGAATGCAATACAAGCAGAAAGGACTGTTACTCTAACGTTCCCTGGTAAAATAGTTTCTGTAATGTCTTCTCCTGGTTTCTAACTCTGCTTCCTGGGGTCTCTGAACAGGTGTAGCTACCCCCGATGCCAAGGAAGTTGCCCCCAACACCAGGGAAGTTACTCCTGTTTTCAAAGAAGTTACCCCCAACATGAGGGAAGTTACTCCTGTTTTCAAAGAAGTTGCCCCTGTCTCCAGGAAAGTTACTCCTATTTTCAAAGAAGTTGCCCCTGTCTCCAGGAAAGTTACTGCTGTTTCCAAAGAAGTTACCCCTGACTCCAGGGAATTTAAGCCCATTTCCAGGGAAGACAGAGGAAGCACAGCTGGTAGAAAAGGTGAGAGGCAAGCTTTGATGGGCAAAGTCTTTATATGACATTGAAGAGAGCTGAATGGAGGGTGGGGCGAGAGGTAGATGGGCCCAGGAATTCGTGTCCTGCTCAGGGTTAGGCTGCAGCTTGGAGTCAAAGGCCAGATCAGGGTGAAGGCAGGTTCCACAGTGCCAGAGTTTTGCCAGTGGCTCTCCCTTGATTTCCTACCTGCATCTTGGGCCAGATCTAAACCCAGTGATGAAAACAGGCCCCTCCCAGTTTTGGATCTGACTCAGATCTTGGCTGTGGATTTGAACCCAAAGGGACTGAGGGTTTAAGGTTCCTTTTGGACCCAACTGTTAGAAACACCATTGTTGTTTTGAGCCAAAACGGAACCCTGGGGCACCAAGATAGTGGCATCTCAAATCCCATATCACCTTGCTTTGGAATGGAGGGGAGAGGGGTTGATGTGGATGTGAAGGAGGCCGAAGGGGATAAAGACCTGGAGAAAGCTTTTGTGGACAGAGGAAAGGACAGATCTCAGAGACGCTGAGGAGGAAGACGCGGCAAGATTTGGGCACTGCCTGGATATGAGGGAGTCAAGAGAGAAGGACCGAGTCAAAGATGCAGCCAGGTCATGGGCTGGAGTGGCAAGGAGGGTGGTGGTGCTGTCAATAGAGGCAGAGAATGGAGGGCCTCGCAGGGGAGATCTGGTTGGCCAATGTGAGCTGACAGCGAGGTATCCAGGAGGAGGCTTCAGAGAGACAGGACTGAGAGGAGCGATTGGGTTGGAGTGGGAACAAGAGCAGAGATTTGAGAGTCACAGGCACGAAGATAGAAGCCAAAGCGACGGGAATAGTTCAGAACAGGGAGAAAAGGAGGGATCCTCTCAGTGGGAAGTGGGAGCGGCAGGGAGGAGATCCGCTGGATGAGTCGCTGGAGCAACCAGAGAGGTAGGAGGACAGTCAGCAGAGGAGGGAGTCTTGGAGCCTAAGGTAGGACAAAGTACCAAGCAGGAGGGGTATGTTGGATGGTGTCTGAAGCAGTGGAGAAATCAATGATGAGGATGGGTTTAAAACGCTGAGACTGGGCCCAGAAGGGGGCCTTGGTGATGGTGGAAGCCGGATCAGAGGGGGGGAACCGAGGTGGAGCTGGAGGGGCAGTGGTTGGTGGCGCATTGAATGAAGTTGGAGGTGAAGGGGAGACAGGGCTTAGCAGGAGGGGTTGGGGATTGGTTTGGGATGACAGGGCAAACCAGATTAATTATGCATGGGAGGGAGGTTACGGAGCAGAGAAAATCTGTCTGAGTACAGAGGGCCCTGTGAGTGGTCAATAGCTAGGGACTGAGCCAGTAAAAGGGGCAATAGCAATACAGGCATTTGAGCAGTTAGTCAAGATGGGCAGGTGATTGTGTGGATAATTAAATAGATCGTGTGGATAACGGAATAGTGAGCAGACTGTGTGGATCATGAAGTAGCTAATAGACTATGTAGATTCTTAAATAGAACATCTGGAGTAGCTAATAGACCGTGCACATAATCAAATAGAATGCATCGATAACAGAGAAGCTAATAGACCATGTTGATAATCAAAGTGCAGCAGAGAGCATGATGCAGACCATTACTTTACTCTCTCGTGTTCCTCTTTCTCCCCCTCAGAGACACACTTTGTGGACCGGCACCGAGAACAGCTCATCCAGCGAGTAACTCTGGTCGAGGGCGTCCTGGATAAGCTGCTGGGTGACGTGTTGGACACTGAGCAATACCTGACCATTACAGCCGAGAGAACCAACCCAATGAAAATGCGGAAGCTGTATGAGTTCATGGTGAGCTGGAACAAGTATTGCAAGGACCAGCTCTACGAGGCGCTGAAGGACAAGTGCAAGTTCCTTGTTGCAGATCTGGAAGGGGAATGAAGGCAATGAACACCCCCCCTCCACCACCACCCCCCACACACAGTGCCTTTCCCTTTGCTTCCAGTGTCTGTTCCAGGGAGGAAAACCAATTTCTGGGTCTTCCCCATGTTTCCAAAGATGTCACAACTGGTTAAGACGAGGGCTGCGTGAAAACTTCCCCTTGAAATTATTTTTCAATGTAAAATCAGGTTTTTAACAAGATAAAATATCTACTTTCTGAGGGGAAAAAAATTATTGTTGAAAAAACAAACACCCAAACCAAAAATATTTCAGCCCAAACCTGAAATATTTCAATTTGGGTATAACTTATGGGAGTTGTAGTTCACTTGCCTCATCCTCATTCTCATCTATGGACCAGGGCCCTCAGTTGGACTACATTTCCCATGATGCACCATGGCCAGGGATTCCCATGATGCAACTGCCTCCTCACCAAAAGGAGAGACATGATGGAGGCCAGACTACAGTGGAGAATGGGGTCACAGGGCACCCAAATTTCAACTCCCATTTGGAACTGCGACAGCATTTCCAAATCAAAATATTTTGGTTTTAGTTTGTGTTTGGGTGTTTTTGTTTGTTTGTTTTTTTTGCTGAAAAGTTGAACTTTTCAGTGAAAAATCTGGACAAGAATGAAATCTATGGATCTATTTTTGTCTGGGGGTTTTGTTTTAAAACATCAGTGGAAAAATCCTTCATTTGCCAACGTCAGAGCCCCAAACCAAACTGCAGCTCCCTCTCCTCACCTGGCTCTCCCAGCCACCTCAGCCCCCGGCTGCTGCATTCTGTTGGCAGCTGAGCGTGAAGGGCTGGAGGCTGAACTGAACAGCTGCTGGGCTGTGCTGGTGAGGACCACAAATCTGGGGGGCGCATCTCCATCTTATCCTCGTCTCTGGGAAGATAAAGGACATCAGCCCTGAATCCCCACCGCTATATTCTGTCCCCTGCAGGGCCAGCACTTGGCCACCGCAACCCTCCCTTTGGATACAAAAAGTCCAGAGATGCCCTCCTAGAGCTTAAAGCCAGAAGGGACCATTAGATCTTCCAGTCTGACCTTCTGTGTAGCTCAGATCCTTACATTTCACCCAGTTACCCCTGCACTGAGCCCGATGACCTGCCTTTGACTAAAGCCTCTTCCACAATGGCAGCTGGTCAGGTTTTGAAGACACCGAGAAATGGAGGATTCGCCACTTCCTTTGGGCCTTTGTTCCACCCTGAGTGAGAAAAATCGGGGCCTGATTTCTAATGTGAACTTGGCTGGCTTCAGCACTCCAGTCCTGGGCTCTTGTTCTGTTTTTGCAGTACACTGCAGTATTGTGTGCCCTTCCCCCACGCTCTCACTTCCGTTACAGACCCATTCGTCCTTTGTATCAGGGCTTCGGGCAAGGCGATTCCACCGCTGCCAGGACGAGGCTCTGCTCTGCTTCTCCCCAGACGTTCCCCAAGCCAGAACCCGGCTGCTGCCCTGGGCCTTTGCTGTCCATCTAAGTCCGCCAGCACCAACCTCTCGGGGCCCTGCCGGGAGAGGGGGCTGCCTGTCACCCAGCCTGCTGAAAGGGGAAATCACTGTAATTCTCACGTTACCCCAATAGGGGCTGGTTATTGTTTAACATAGAGCAACTTTTGTACCTTTGTATTTAAATTAAAAAGAAGGTGGTACCTGTCTGAGAGTGGGGCAGTCGCTCGCTTGTTGGTGGCAAGGAGGATTTTGTGGTGGGGGGTGGAGGCGGGTGCAAGGGAGGAAGCAGCAGCTGCTGGGAGGGAGGGAGAGGATACTTGGACTGCGATAAGTAGGGGCAGAACCCTGAGCCAAACTTTCCCAGCCCCAGCTGAGTGGGAAGGGGACGTGGGTGGGGCAGAGTCAGGACTGGGTATTCCCTGTGTAAAAGACAAAACAAAAAAAACCCAAATAGGGCAAAGGCTGATGCCCGTGGGGGTGTGATCAGGGCAGCTGGGAGTGTGCCTGGGTCCATGGCCTTGTGCTAGCAGGCAAGGGCAGCGGAAGCTCTCTTAAAGTGTGGGGGGTGCACGGGCACCTGAACCCCCTGTAGCACCCCACCCCCTGTAGCACCCCTACTCCCAGAGGCTCTGCCCTGCCCCTTCCCCGATGCCCTGCCCCTGCTCCGCCCCTTCCCCCAAGACCCTGCCCCCCACTTGCTCCTCTCTATCCCCCCCCCCACGTCGCTCAGCCAGTAAAAGTGGGTGGGCCATGATCTCCTGACCCCCTGTTCCAGCACCCCTCTTAGGAGGGCTCGTGGTAGCCTCCTAAAACTGGCTGTGTAGCCACTGCAGCTTGCGCTGGCGTTCAGGCTGGTGGGTGGGGAGGCGGGAGGAGGTTGTGTCGGCTTGGGAGCCTGAGCAGCAACATCCAAGCAATGTGTCTACACCGGTATTTTGTAGCATGATAGCTACCACGAGCACTGTCTAGCACAGGTCTGTGGAGCCGGATGGGGAGTCTCGCTCCCAGATGCAGTGTAAACGTACCCTTAAACTCCAGCATGTGATGGGCACGTAGGGTGACCAGATGTACCGATTTTATAGGGACAGTCCCAATTTTTGGGTCTTTTTCTTATATAGGCTCCTATTACCCCCCACCCCCGTCACGATTTTTCACACTTGCTGTCTGGTCACCCTATGGGCACGGACAAAGACGTGTGTCTCTCTCCAAGGATTTGGGGACACTTGGGGGCTGGTCTCATCCCCTCTAGAGGCCTCAGGGGCAGGAGACGAGCCTTGGACTGAAGCTGATCCTAGCATGTCAGACACGGAGCTTGGGAAGGGAAAGGCAGGGAGTGAAATCCAGGCTGTGGGGGAAGGGATCCAGCCCTCGGCTTTACTTCCCTCCCTCTACCCCCGTGTGGTGTACCTGTTAATCTGCCCCGGGGGATGTGGTTAGACCCCTGCCAACCTGATTCATGGTCTAGCAGCAAGTGTGGGTCCGAAGGCCACATCTAGCACTTGACAGCTGCAGTGGGGTGTTGCGTGACAGTGATGAGTACTGCTGGGTGAACTTCTTTGCACAAATAGCTTTTTTTTTCCACTGAAAAAATGCAGCTTGGGTCACCCCAAAGCTATTTGCGAATTCGGGTGGATTTCAGCGAAAAGCCAAAACTGACCCGAAAAAGAGAAACGAAGCGTTTCCACATTTCTGAAAGGAAAGCGTTTGTTTTTTGTGTGTGGCCTGGATTTACAAAATGGCCAGGGGCGGGGGACATATGGGGATCTCCCTTATACCTGTTGCCCACTGTGTAGCACGCTCACTTGGGATGTGGGAGATGCAAGTTCAGTTCCCCCTTCGGCCTGATGTAGAGCACTTGGGTCTCCCACCTCTCAGGACCATGCCCTGGTATGTATGACTGGCACGCGAAACCTTAAATTAGAGTGAATAAATGAAGACTCGGCACACCACTTCTGAAAGGTTGCCGACCCCTGATCTAGAGGTTACAGCAGATCACGAGTTGACTACAGGTCAACAGTGTGATGCTGTTGCGGAAAAGGCAGATGTCATTCTGGGGCGTATTAACAGCAGTGTCTTATGTAAGACGGGAGATAATTGTTCGGCTCTTCTCAGCACTGGTGAGGCCTCAGCTGGAGCACTGTGTCCGGTTCTCGGCTCCGCACTTTAGGAAATATGTGGACCAAATTGTTGAGAGTCCAGAGGAGAGCAACAAAAAGGATCAGAGGTTTAGAAAACCTGGCCTGTGAGGGAAGGTTGAAAGAACTGGACTTGTTTAGTCTAGAGTATAGAAAACTGAGGGTGGATAAGACAACAGCCTTCAAATATATCAAAGGTTATGATAATGAGGACAGTGATCAACCGTTCTCCATGCCCACCCAGGGTAGGACAAGAAGGAATCGGCTTAGTTTGCAGCAAGGGAGATTTAGGAAAAACTTTCTAACTCCATGGATAATTAGGCACTGGAACAGGTTCCCTGGGGAGGTTGTGGAATCCCTGTAAATGGAGGTTTTTAAGGACATGTTAGACAGGGATGGTCTAGGTCTTAACCTATGCTCCAGGCCAGGGCTGCAGAGGCTGAGCCAGACTTTCTCTGCGATTACTGCTCTGGGCTGCTGCCTCCTTGGGCCCCAGAACTGAGAGCAGGGTGATTGTCTCTCCAGTGTTCCCAGTACCCCTGCTGCTGGTGCCCCACCACAGGGGCTCGGGCACTGGCTTAGGCCATAGGAGACCCAGGTGCACGTGCCTGCTCCGCGATGCACTTCCTGTGTGACCTTGGCCAAATCACTTAGCCTATCTCTGCCTCAGTTCTTATAGGCACAATGGGGACAACGGCACTGGGCTGTGAGGATAAATACACTAAGCATTGGGTGGGCACTGCTTTGAGATCTCCTGATAAAAGACAGGCATGAGTATCATGAAGCAACCTGACTTGGGATGCAGAGGCTGGAGGAACGGGGGGAACACCTGGGAGAGAGAGTTGCAGGAGCCAGAAGGGGGGACACAGGAACTGCTGGGGGTCAGCGGAGGGGGGAAGGGAAGAGGAGCTGGGGGAGGGTTAGGTTTTGGGAGGTGTATAGGCACCGATGTGGGGGAGGATAGTAGCACAGTGGGAAGGAGGCAAGGATTATAGGAGTAAGGATAGGGGCGGGGTGGGGGGCAGAGGGGTCTGTAACCACCTCACAAAGCTTTTCCCTTTCTTTATCAAAGCTCTGACATGCCCATAAAAGGCGATTGCACGTTTCTTCTGCCTTTCAGGGTGCACAGTCTTTGTGTCTCTTCATCTGAAAAAGATTTTAGTTTGAGCCACAATGTTAATACTCTAAACAAAAGCCCTTCCTGCGTGTGTCCTATCCAGCCCCGAAGTATGTCATAATCCTCAGCTCTAGGGCACAGTGCAGATAATCAGCTTCCTCTTTTTCCATTAGTGCAATTTGTTTTGCCGTTCTCCCTTTACATTTTTCTGTACTAGGCTTTTGAATTCCTATTACTCAAGGGCATTTCCGTGTTAATCCTTCCATTTCTCACAGCGTTTTTAGCTGCTTTGTTGGCCATTTTGTTCCCTGTTCTCCCAATAAGCACTGGGATCCAAGCTAATGCGGCCTGTATCCCCATCTGTAGTAACTCTGTTGTTAGAACTATAATGTTGTTGATTAAATCACTTCTACATATTGAGACATGCTTTTTATCCCCATAATGCCTGAGATTGAATCCAAAAATATGACGGCTGCTGCTGCGGCTGGGCGTACATTCCAGATCCAGTTTAATGCTGGCATTATTGCTACAAGTTCAGCTGTCATGATAGCTACATAATCAGATATTCTTTTGGCTGCACTAATTCCCAATGTTGGTATACAATATGTCATCCCTACACTTCCTGTTCGTTTTTTTTTTTTTGGACCCACCTGTATATGTGTAAGCAGGGTCTGCTGAATTCTTCCCTGACAGCTACCTGGAGAGACTTCAAGAGCAAACTGTATTTACATGAGCACACCTACTCTGCTGAGATATCCAGCAGATAGAGCAGT